GCCTCCATCAGGGGGTGCAAGCGGGCGGCCTCCACTCCTGGGCAGTGTCTGACCTCGAACCCCGCTGCCCACACGGAAACGCACCGCCGTTCCCATCAGCCGCCCGGCGAGGATTTAGGCTTTGCCGACACACATGCACCCTCAGCAGAGTGGGATTCGAGTCAAAGCAGGGGGTGGGGGGGGCGGTGTGGAGGGCTGGCAACTGCCCGGGCCCTGATCGCCGCAGGAATCTAGAGTGATGGGCAACACGCCCCTGGGAATAAAGTCGCAGGGAATATGCGCGAAGGACATGTGGACAGAGGGGGAGAAACTTTGAACAAGGCCTGAGGTAGAGGTGGGCGTGGCTGAGTTCAACCAACACACACATGCACGCACACATGTGCACACTGCACATACATGCACACTACATACATGTAGTCACTGCATGCATACATGTGCACGCACATGCACGCTGCATGCATACACACACACACTCACACTGTACCTCCATGTTAGAAAAGTGGTTTCTGATCTGCCATCTGAGGACGTGGGTCCCACTGTCGCCCACGGGGCTACCGCTCGGCTGAGGGCACTGCACCCGCACGCCCCCTCCTCGCCTGCGGAAGCAGCCTCTCCCCGATAACACGAGGAAACGTGTGGAGAGCGCGGGCACGAGGGCGGCCCGGGGGGATCAGTGCGGCTGCTGACGCTGCCCACGTGCCCTGACCGGTGCGGGCTCCCTCTCCTTCCTTTCCTGTCCTTATTCCCCCAAATCAGAACTCACACCCCGCAGACCTCAGTTCCCTTTGAGATGAGCAAAATGCCCGGCCGGCGTGGCTCAGTTGGTTGAGCGTCATCCCATGCACTGGAGTCACCGGTTCAAGTCCCAGTCAAGGCACAGGCCCGAGGTGCAGGCTCGAACCCCATTAGGGGGCGTGCAGGAGACAGCCAATTGATGTTTCTCTCTCTCCCTTCCTCACTAAAATCAATAAAAAGGTGGGTTTTTTTGTTTAAAGATTTACCCCAACAGGGATCCCCAATCAGGAAAGGGGGCTGGTACCCTGTGGGTAAAGCATGTTTGGGGAGCTTTCATCCAGCCTTGCGGGGAACGGCAGCTCATTCTGCCCATCGTCCTGATATCCTGCGTCTGCCTACACCCCAGGGGCCCCTGTGAGCTGCCTTACGCTCACCTCCCTGGGCACCGAGTTAACGCTGGGCCAGTGCCCTGCGGAGGGGACGCGCTCAAGGACCTAAGCTGCGTCCTGAGAAGATATTGCTCACGATCCACCCTTTAATGCGGGAGGGGATCCCCCGGCAGCCGCCCGCCCAGCACCCCTGTCTGCCGCGGGCCCCTCCCTGGGCACCGAGTTAACGCTGGGCCAGTGCCCTGCGGAGGGGACGCGCTCAAGGACCTAAGCTGCGTCCTGAGAAGATATTGCTCACGATCCACCCTTTAATGCGGCGGAGGAGGTCCCGGCAGCCGCCCGCCCAGCACCCCTGTCTGCCGCGGGAACCATCCGGCTTGGAGCAGGCTGGCCGGCCACGCAGGGAGGAGAGAGGAGGGAGGAGGAGCCCGGCGGAAGCTGGGCGTTTACTTGACAGGGAGGGGAGCCAGCGGCTGGACAGAATGTGCCCACAGTCCGGCAGAGGGGCGCTCAGAAGGCCTCCTTGGTGCTGTTGAATTTCTTTGGGGGGAGCCGGGGGGAGGGGAGCGAGGAGGGCGAGGAGGGCGATGCCCCGAAGCTGCGACAGGGGGCCTGCGGGCCGAGCGGCGGAGTCTGTGTACTTACGGGGATGGACCGGCTCAGGAACCGGGCCGAGGAGGAGGACAGGCCGGTGACGGAGGCCCGGGGGCTGGGGGCGGCGGGGGGCCCAGC